CCAAAGGGGAAGAGCTGAGGGAGGGAAGGTGGGAGGGGGCAAGGGAAAGAGGTGGGGGGAAGGCAGAGACAAATGTATTTAAAAAGTAAATAAATTAATTAAAAAAAAAAGAAAGAAACAGTGTACCTCTATTTCTGCCTGTTGATCTTCCAACCAAAAATTATCTCAAAAATATTCAAAGGAAGGTATATAGGACACCAAATACCAAATACTAATAGGTGTAACACATCAAAATGGTGATGTTTGAGAAATTTTCTATCTTTCAAAATGTACAGATAGCTATTAGGATTAGTAACTATTATTAAGAGAAAAATAACAGAGTGCCTCAAATGTGGGGGGAAAAGTTAAAGAAAGATTAACAAAAATAGTACAATGTTGAAACAAGGCTCCTCTCCCACTATCGCTCCACTGTTTTCCAGGTGATTACTCCATTATTTAGTTGCAATTCCAGTTTGGTTTTGGGAGGAGGTCAGCGTGACTCCCTTTCACTCCTCCGCCATCTTTCTCTATCAAAATGGAATTTTCTCAAAAGTTATTGCTCTTTTTCATATTTTTAAAAACCTCATACAAAATTTCAAAAGCAATAATTTGGAGAGGAGCAACAGTGCCTCTCAATCATGGGCACATGTCAGAATCACCTGGGAGCTTTTACAATTCACATTTATACTGGGAACTGCAGTATAAGCGCTCCATTTGCCACTCCTGAGAACACACACACACACACACACACACACACACACACACACACACACACACACAGAGGTATTTCTTATAAACAATGTTCATTCCGAAGGAATTAACCATTATTTAGTTCTGTTGCCAAGCACTGCATGACTAAACATGATGGAAAAGTGTTCAAAAGCATGCAATGTGTTGGCCCCAGGGAATTTATATTACAGATGCCCTGCTGAGTTCTAAAACATTAATATTATTTATTGACTTCTGCTCAGCAAATGCAGTATACAATTTACACCAGTCAGTGACAAATACATCCATGGTCTAATACAGATGTATCAGAGAACAATGCCTGGTTCTTACTGAAGCTTGACAATACAATCAGAAGAGACTTTGCCTCAAGTGAAGAAACAAAGACCTTCATCTTCCGTGTCAATTCCAGGGATGATTACCTCTCAAATAACCTTGAACAGACTTACATTTTTATTTTTCTGGCATTGCTAAATTTGAAATAATTCAAAATAGATTGGTTCTTTTAAAAAGGTAAGATTAAGACAACTTCTTTAAAAAGTTAATTGTTTTACTTAACAGAAAAAAATCAAATAATGCTACACAAATACTTCTCATGAAAATCACAAAAGTCTCAATGTTTTTTCAAGTGAATCTATTTTTCCATAGTTCTTTATCTGTTCCTTTGTCTTTTTGCGTTTACATTTTTATATACTCAGGAGTTCTAGACAAGCTGACAAATTCAGAATTTGAACTCTAATGAAATAATATTCCATGTTGGTCACATTCTGTAATGAGGAATAGTTTCTAAAATTATACCCTAGTATGTCAGTTCACTAAAGTCTACATTTGGGTACCTTCTGATAACCTGTCTCATCTCATCCCCCAGCTCCTGGACCCATATACCTTGCAATGGCCTCACCTACACTGAAGTTGTGGAATGAAAATATAATTTACAATTTCTGCTCTATAAATTGAGCTGAAGGTAATGAGGAAAGGTTGTGGGTCTAAAGTAGAACCTACAGAAATACTCTTTATAGTGATAAAAACCCCAAATCAAAAACACCTCTATATCAATGCAGGGGTTCCTGCAGTCCTCATGGGTACAGAAAAACTGACAGCTGTTAAAAGGGAGGGGGTTGGGGGATGGGTGAGAAGGGTTAAGGGATTAAGGAAAAGAAAAAAGAAAAAGAAAGGCTCCCGGAAACAGACAACGGTTATGGTGATTGCCAGAAGGAATTTAGGTGGGGGAGAGAGGTGACGGGGGGAGGGGGAAGAGGGTAAAGGTGGGATAAATGCTGATGGGAGGTGGCTCGGGGTGGTGAACACACAACACAATACACAAATGTGCATTGTAGAAATGTACACCTGAATCCTATATAGTTTTATTAACCAATGTCACCCCAATAAATTCATTTAAAAAATCAATCTGCCCTATCAGAGTTTACCTGGCCTATTGACAAAATTGAGTGAGCCAAGAGCAGGAGAAAAATCCTGTGACCCCGGCATCTACCCTCTATTTTTATCTCTTGTGAAGCAGGTGTTGGGAAAACAATAAGATGACTTTTTTTAGGAAGGCACTTGCCTCTGTGGTCTTTGTTCATAACTCAGTGCCTATATAGCCTTGGGCACTACCTTAGTTACAGGAGAAGATAAAAGTTAAGTGCTTTAAATTTAAATCCAATAAATGTCTACAAAGTAAACTTCCAACAAACTCTAAAAAGGAGAGTTTGATACGAATTCTTACTGGGTTAAGATCTCTGTTTAGTTTCCATTATTTTCTTCAGCTCGACCTCAGTGCTGTCAGCCCACCCTCGGAAGGTTAGGGTTGGTGACCCAAAGCAGGAAAACCAGCAAGTTCAGTTCACATCAACAGAAATGAGGGTGGTGATTTTAGGTCATTAAAAACTCACATTCATTGAACCCTATTCCTTATATGTCTTTTTATATAAATAAGTCATTTATTGAAAGTGATACATATGCAAAAATATTAAATTAATAATTGAAGATGGATTATTTAGAATGGCTTATTAACAATATTAATAAGTCCATATGATTTGTAACTGGTCTTCACAGTGTTACCAATACAAAGAACAAAGGGGAAACCCCCATGCAACTGGAAATATATGGAAATTAATCTACTTATGATAGGTGTATTTAGTCTTGAGTGGGAGTACCCCAACTATGTTTCTCTAAAATCAACAAGTCTTCCCATATGGTCTCAATAGATGGAAATCACTTGTGATTTTAACTTTGTATACTTTGAAACTAAATTGTGAAAGAACAGATCATTATACTACTATTAGTAGTATCTTGAAGAGAGCCTCGGACAAGCTGGTGCTAGACTAAGGCCAGCCCTGAATCTCCAGGGACTATGGCTCTTAGGGTACAAACACTTCCGTACTGCCTGCACATATGTTTCTAATGCTGAGATAGACATACATCTGTCTCAGCTGGATGCCAGTAATAAAGCCAGTCTCTCTACTGATGTAACTTGTTCTACTATCAATTTTATCAAATAAAATTAGCATTAAAATTTGCTTCCCATGTAGCTCTGCTTACCAGTTTGAATATTATAATATCTATCTTTAGTTGTAACTGAATAAATCAATATAATGGTTTGCACATCATTATCCTGTGGGCTGTAATAATGTGAGATAGACTCATTCTCCTTTGTACAGACAACATGCACTTTCTAACATGGCAAAGCCAAGGTTTACCAAGATCAAGGTCATACTGAGAAGATCAGTGACATACTCCCATCTCTCTCTGCAATATCTACACCTCTCTCTCTCTCTCTCTAAATATATAAATATACATATTATATATATATACATTATATATAATATATATTTATATATGCCTTTTTATATATAAATATAATATATTATAAATCTATATTAATATATATTAAATATATATAATATATTATAGTACATATTAATATATATAATACATTAAAACTTTAGCAAATAGACACATGGCAGCTTAATTAAGGATACACTGTATTTGGCATCCAGTAAGTACTATGCAATATTTATTCACTGAATTAATCTATCTTACTGTTGTAGTGCTCTTATTAAGATTAACAATTGTAAAATGCAAGTGTAAGTGGTAGGGAAATATTCTCTGAGACAAGGTATGGTTCATAAAGAGGTATCCACAGAACAAAATGTTCAAATAGCCCAAAGTTTTTGGAACTGAGGCAAGGTTATTTTATAGACTCCATGCATTCTATTTAATGTGAATAGTCATATAGTTCCTTAAAAAGATGTTAAGAGATGTAGGGAAACACTACAGAATATGCTTTTAAAACATATTTTATGTAACAATACCTTGTTAAAATTCAGGTTTTCAAAATTTACAACTGTATCTGCCCTCAAAGATTCAGTAAGAGGTTGTAAGCCTTTATCCATTTGTCATATAATAACAAACAAAAACAACTTATCCATGTCTTATTAGATACAGTCCTTAAAAACTCCAAAATATTTCAATAAAATAAGGACACAGATTTTTAAAAACTTTATTGTCCCATTACAGTTGCCCTCATTTTCCCCCCCATTGCTCGCCCCGGCCCTACCCACCCTCACTTTCTACATTCAATCCTCCCTCCCCCATTGGCTTTGTCCATGGGTCCTTATACATGTTCTTTGACTTGACCCTTCCCCTTCTTTCCCCCATTATTCTCCTCCTCCCTCTCCTCTGATTCCTGTCAGTTTGTTCTTTATTCACATGTCTCTGGTTCTATCTTGCTCACTTGTTTGTTTTGCTGATTAGGACACAGATTAGTGTTGAGAAGTGAACAGACACTGATTCAGAAAAGACCTTAAATCTGGCCTTCGATGTCAGGTAAATACATAAAATTTGCTATGTCTTTCTAATCCTTAGTTTTTGCATTTGTTAAAAAAGATTTTTCATGCTTAAATGAAGTACTATAGAGAATAATACATGAGAGAAAAGAAGTAATGATACTGACAGATTGTAGCTTAACTCTATTGATATAATAATAATTGTTAACATTATTTTATGCATGGTAACATTTCTAACCTCTTCCACAGTAGCACTTAAGGAAATGTTGGTTTTCATATTTGAGGGTTCAGAGTGTTCACAGCTTCAGTATTTCAAACTTGAAAAATTGTTAAATAGGAGAAACAAATATACATTGAATCATATTTCAAACGAGTGAGATTCACAGTACTGTAAAAGTTAAAAATTATATATATTTGGATGACCACAATGGAGAACTAATAGATTTGAGCATTCACTAATAACTTTGAATTTCGTGATTCATACTAAATGGTTATACTTTTCTTTACCTGTGAAGAGTAGGTATGACCATCTGAACCACAAACGGGGCTGGAATAGAGCGCTGGGCACTGCTTGCAGGCAGATGACACGGGCCCCCTCCACTGCTTACGGCCTGCTCCTGCGTCTTTCACGCTGCCAAAAAATAAAAATAAAATAAAACAATCGCACAATGCCTTGATTTAAAAAACGAGTAAATTTATACTAACATCATACTTTTCCACTGTCACTCCAAATCTTAAAGATACATTGGAATCAGAAACTATTTTCTCCTTTTCAATCTATTAATAACCACAGAGATTATATTCATTATAATATTTTGTTTCTTACAAGGATATGGAGGTTGCTCTATAATAAAATAAGAATATAAGTTCTTAAAAATATTCTTCCAGTTTCATATAGATTATATTTCATCATATGAATCTTTGTTTTAATTTACAGTTGTGACATATTTTTGATGGATCCAGAAACAGAAACAACTGCTCAGCAATAAAGGACTCGCACATTTTGGGACTGCCTAAAAAGCCACTCTCGTATCCCATCAGCAACGGTTTGAGAAAACAGACACCTAATTCGCTGCGTGTACCCGATGTGCCGGAAAGTGAGAGCAGTTTAGAGAAAAGAACATAAAGAACTAAACTTTTCCAACAACAACCAGCATTTAGAGAGCCAAATTAATAGGTTCAGTGAGAGCCAATCCTTTTTTTATTCTGTAGAAATGCTTCAAAATAGATTCATTAGGCTTTGATTGAAAAAATAACTTCGGAAACCCCATTCTCTTTTGCAATCTGCACTTACATGTATTTGTTTTCCCACTTTGATTAAACTGTTTTATTGCTCTATTTTTTGTGCACAATATATAAAGAGGGGTTAAGGGCTTAAAAATAAGACTATTTAGAAGCATGCTACTAAATCTGTACTCATTACAATTGTTTATAGAAAGTAATATGAAGTCTATATCAGGAGGAGAAAAGATGATTTACTAGAAATGTTAGTTTATTTTGGCTTTTCATTTTATTTTCATGAACAAGTCAAATTTACATAAAAGTAACCCCAAGACTATTAAGAAATATAGTAAGAATCTTCTTTATAGGAAAAATTCAAACCATGTATTTCAAATTTTACTAAATGTAAGTGGACATCAAGAAAATGTTTATTATTCTCTCTTCCCCTTTCTCACTGCTTCCCTTTCTTGTCTCTCTCAAAAGACTTTCATGAAGCATATGTAATTCCAAATGCATTTTCTTCATTTCAATTTTGTAAATTCTGCCAAAAGACCACTTTAAAATCTTGCCTGGCCACAGAGTCCATCTCATAAAAGATTCAAAGGGGGTAATAACCATGCTCCTATTACTCATTAATTCCTTGGCACAAAATTATAATGGTAATTAAAACAATGACTGGAAAAGCTGAAACATTATTTTACAGCCCGTCAAAACTTATAAATTACAGAAATGGAGTAAAGGGAAATAAATAAAATAAAATATTCTACTTGCAATTTTCTTTACTTTGTATAATCAAAACAAGGCATAAATTATGCAGTTTTTCAGATACATCAGGAGAAATTATTAAATTCAGGCTTCTAATCAATAAAAATACTTTATCAGAACAGGATATATATATATACATATATATAGTTTCTTTGTGATATATATATGTGTAATGATATGTATTATATATACATACACTATATGCCACCATTCAAGGCACTAGGTAGTTTCATACCAATATGCCTGTTACTGTGATTTAATAGCTGTGAAATTAAACTAACAAAGATGAACTTACACTGTCGCTAGTGTTTCTGCACCGGACTTACTCGGAGGCAGTCGAGCCATAGCGTCTCCTTGCTCTCTGCCTGTCTGCCGTCCCGCATTCCTGATCTACCTTCCACCCTGGCCTTCAGGGTGAGCCTCCAGCACCCGGCACATGTGAAAGCGCATCAATCTCTTATTTTTCTAATAACTACAATGTTAATTACAGCTATATCTGCTCAATCAATTATGATACTTGGTTTTATGTTTAGTTAATCATGCTGTGCAATTTGAAAATATAATTTGAACATGACTTTCATGTTTTAGGACTGACATTCATTTTGGAAGGAGCATAAAGGACATTACCAAAATGGTTAGCAGATAAGAAATCTCATTCCAATTTGATTTAAGTTTCGTACATAATCATGTCATTAATCAGTTTGGTCAAGTCAGTAACCTCCCTCAGTCTTAATTTCTTCATTTATACAATGCTAAGCTTCATCAGTATGGATCATTTGATCTTGAGCATTCCACGAGTCTATAAATCTTTAATAAAACTGCTTATATGAAGGCACTCAACAAAAATTAGAAGCATAGACAGTGTATATTGGCCATATGTTATAATTTTAGGACTTGGTTTAGTGTTACCAAGTGAAACTAATATATCATTATGGTGTGAAAGATGATGTTTAATGGAGCAAGAGGAGCCAGGAATGCTGAAGATGCAAAACTCGGCTATCTCAAGATAGCAAGTGAAAGGTACGGAGGGAGACCTTTCTGGTGATAACTAAGGAAAGAGGGAAGAGAAAACAGACGTGCGTTTAAACACTGTTTATACAGGCATGACAGGCATGATTTCCTTGAAAGTACGCCTCAGAATCAAATAATACTTCTATTACAATATCAAGGAACATTGTCAATAAATCATAAAAATAATTTGCATTACATATTTTTCTAAAGCCATGTAGTTCCTGGATCTGACATTGTATTTTATAAACTTTAGGCCATAAATATGGAAACCAAATGAAATGCCAATTATTTATTATGTATTTATCTTAGAAGGGAACCAACAGTATCTAAGTCTTAATTTTTTAGGGATATTTGCTTCTTTCGCTATGCACCTATATTAATATTTAATGACTTTGCATCAATGGAATTATTTCATTTTAATCAGATAAATAGCATTCTGTGAACAGAAATATTCTGTGAATATCTCAACTAAAGGCAACTTTATGCATTTCTTGTCTATTCAGTGCACCTAATATTTTAATTCCTTTAGGTAGTCTTTTTTTTTTTTTTTTTTTAAGGTCTGCCTGAGTTGTGGAGGAATTCTTCCTTAAGACACAACTGCCCAGTCTTGATTTCTTCTCTACTGGACATTAACTCTTCAATAAACAAGGCCACCCTTATTTTTTTGTCATGGGCCTTAGCCCATGCAAATATTAGCAAGGTGCAGTATATTAGCTTTTGGGGCAACATAATAATTTAAAAGTTAGAAAGTTCTATATAGAACTTAAAACTATAGTGACCATTAACTGCTTTATATGATTTCTACACTCAGTATGACAGTAAATTGAGCGATGAAGCAACATATTATGTTATAAATTTTAATTTTAAGTAAAAGACATACTCTAAAAATAAGAAGTAAACCTTGATTCATAGTAGAAAACATTATTAAATACATTAAAATAAATTGGCATAGCTTAGTTTGCAGTATGAATAAAAAATCCCTTCTTTTATATATTTTTTACATAGAACAGTGATTTACCAAAAAAAGCCCATTTGTAGATATATTTTAAAATACAATGATAGGCATGATTAATAAAATGACCTTTGAAAACTACTCCCAGCATAAATTAAATTAACTAGTGAAAAAAAGAACAGTATAACTGCTTCAAATATTCTTTAAAGCAAAACTCACCACCACCAATGAGTGTTGTCTAGAAAGCAGATCTGGCTAATTAAACCTGAAATATATATAGTGTAATAAATAATACAACACCATATATGTGAGTCTGATTTAAAAAATCAGTGCAGAGGCCAATTTGCTAATATAGGAATTGGTTCTATTAAATGTGTTGACAGATATATTTCACTCCAGATATGAGCATATGAATATGATTGCTAAGTGTGCATCCTCTATTTGAAATATGAATTAGGAAATTCTTCATTTTTCAATTATTAATGTCCATAGATAAAGCAAGCTTTCAACCATAAACTATGATATCACTTTAACCTTAAACAGTTCCATAATGTCAGCATTGAGCAAAATATGAACTAAGATTTGAGTTCACAAAATTGTGTGATTCTTAAAGGTCAAGGAGAGTCTGTATTAGGAAAAATGTATTCACATTTTAAAAATAACAGTGACAGATATGCAGCTTAAAAGGGAAAAATATTCCACCTAAATGAAAATTAAAATGAAGCAATGCAACATTTACTGAAACACATGGAAAAAGATTAATTATTCAAAATATATTTTATATATAAAAATTTATTGATTATGCAAAATTCTTTTGATTTGTTTTTCTAAACAAAGGAAATATTTTAGCTCATAAATAGACTTGAAAGCTTTATCAGAAGGCTTTAACAGTTAAAGGCAACATTAATTTAATTAGTAGAAAAATAGATGATAGAGACAATGGGTTTCTTCTCCTTGTACTTTTGCATTTAGGAGTGTGGTCTTTGGGACAAACTGGAAAGGAATAGTGGGAGAATGGACTAAGTGTCATGGGATAGGGATAAGTATATCTTGCTTGACATCCAGATACAGAGTAGAGAGGAGAGAAGCCATTGCATTATACCAAGAATCTACTTCAGAAAGGTGGGACCACAGACTTTGTTCCCATTGCCAGCTAAATTTCTGTTTTTGTACTTTGCTGATCAATCTTTCCCAAAACTTTACAGGTGGTCTTCCCTCTCCGCTAACATCTTTTCACTTTTTATTCACAACTCATCATTTTTATTCCAGGATATTTCCCTGAGCTTAGCACAAATTAAGGACTTGATAAATATCACTGAAAATATAAAGTGAGAGAGAGAGTGAGAGAGAAAGAAGGGAGGGAAGGCAGAAAGGAGGGAGTCCATCCCTGTTTGTAGCACTAAGGATGGTTCCTATTTTCTTTGCTTATATGTCCACTTAAGAAGTGGAAGTTCCTTAGCATTATTTTCTTACTGAATATGCTTCTTATAAATAATTTGTAAATTAAGTCCTTAAAAGCCATTTTGGCTTGCATATTAAAAGTCAATTAGAATAGAAATATATTTAAGCAAGAGTCTTGCTTTTCCTAATGATTATCTTATGCTATAGCATAAAGTACATACCAAAGCATTTTATATTATTTCTTTCAGTTGTTTCAGTTTATCAAGGACTCTTCCAACCTC